CAGGGCATCAATCGTAGGCATGACATTCTCTATAGCTGAATAAAAGATGGTCACTAATCTAACTGGTGCACATCTCTCGACTGAACAACGAATAGTGTACAGATTTGGACGTCTTGGTACAATAGTAGACTGACTCCTTTTCTGATTCGGAAAGGCCATTGAGCCACCTTCAAGTGCTGTGTCTCTATTGTACCACTTTGTAGACGACCATTGCTCCGATTCGTCCGGGATCCTCCATCCATCGTCAGCTGTGAACCACAAGATTCTGTTGCCGTCCTGTTGTCTCTTTTCTATGGTCTTCTCATCACTGTCTTATTCTTGTGAGTATCAAGCTCCGGCTGTCAATTATCCAATCCCGGTATGTACAGTGGAGGCTTCTGTCTGCCTGCCTCCACAAATTGAAGATCCCGCCGCCTTTTTTTCGGCCGCAGTCACACGAAAATCGTGGAGCCTGGATACGATTTAGTTCTAGCTGTCTATCCTACTTTGTTATATTTTAAGACCAAGTGATTCACCATGTCTCCCTCTCGATTCTATTGAGATTACTCATTCCCTTACCCTATTTATCCTCTATGTGTTGAGCGTCTGGCGGCCCACCTCAGCCTCCGACATTTGTACCGAAGAGTGATCTTCCTTTGGTTCCAGACAAACCCATCCATTCTTCCGCCTTTGCGGGCAGTGCAAACCGCCTTCGATCTGATCTGCAAGGGCAAATTGAGTACAATCGTATTGCGCTCTTCGAATTGGAAGGCGTTCATGTGAGCTTATCCTAAAAGTTCTTCCGACGATACGACGGGTTTTACTAATTTTGTCTCTTCATCAGTGTGATTCGTGTTCGACCATCGATCAGTCCGTGGAGACCACTGAGAAGAGACCGTGACTTTATAATATTCAGAGGAATCAATCAATCAGTATCGACCACCATCCTACTCAAAGCGACAATGGATGAGCTGTCGTGTCTACATCAGTCACTCGCCTAGCAATATCGGATTTTGCGCTATCGCATTTTGACGTCTCCGCTGGCCCCTTCCACTCGCCGCGATCGTCCAAACTTTTGCACCAAAACGACTCTATGATGACCTTCGAGCAACCGAGACGAGAGCGGTCCTCTAGCGACAGAGCTCAGCCTGCACCCTTCCCGCAGAGGCCAGGTCTCCCGGGCAGAACAATTTCCGCACCGGCCGGAGGTCTGCATAAGCTTGATTCCTCCAGAATGGCAACGGACACACGGAGTAAACTCGAGAGCCCTCTCATAGAGGAGGAGGAACATGTTCTCTCAAGGAGTGACACCGGTTTATTGTCGATGCGTGACGGTAACGGGGTAAGGTCTATCCGTGGGCATTGTGATCTGACGGAGGTTGTAGTAAGCGGCTAACCACTGATTTCTGCTATAGATATCTCAGAAGCCGAACTTCCCACACCTTACGGTCGCCGTTGTTGGCCAAGAGAAAGCCGGCAAATCCACATTCATTCAGAGCGCTCTGGACATGAAGAACCCGCTATCCTCACGATCGACAACAAAGAAAATGTCATTAGATGGCACTGTTTACCTTGTTCGATTTGTGGAGATTTCGACCAAAGAGATAACAGTCGGAAGCAATGGAGAGCTCCAGTGGCCTCGGATTGGCACCGATGTCACTTCACCAAAAGTTATTGACGGAGTTCTCATTCTTCATGATGTGACCCAACCCGCGAGCTTCTCAGAATTGACAGGCTTACTTGGTATGTTTCACGGGAGTACTCCCGCTTGCTTCAGACTCACATTTCTTGAGAAAAGTATATGATTGCTAATGGCTCCTTTGCTTAGACGCTTTGTCCGCGTCATCCTTGCCGTTTCTTCTAATTGCCAGTAAATGTGATGTTCGAGGGCACGATAGATTCGTTGAGCCTGCTTTGGGCAATTACGAGATCCATCGGATGTCCCCCGAATCTCCAAAATCGCAAAAGTCGTGTATTGCTATGCTTCTGCGATCTGTTGTCAGCAAAAAATCTGGTGAGTGTCAATCAGGCGGATGGCAACATTGCCCTCTAGCCCTACAACTCCGTGCCCAACAGAATCACTACACCTCAAACAGCAAAAGCTTTCCCCCTATACCCCTATTGTTCCACCATTTTGATTGGAGCTCCTGGGCGTTTCGCAACAAAACATGGGACGAACAAACAACCAACCCCTTTTGGGCTGGTTGTTATCGCGCTAATTCGCGGCACGGCCTGAGTTAGCGTTCGCTCTCCCTTCTGCCCTTTTGAAAAGAAACCGACTTGTCGTTTATCTATCTACTGGTTGAAGCCTACATAAAATTCACAGCTACTGCGCTCTGCCGCGCTATATCTTAATTTGAATGCTAATTGTGATCCTCAGAATTCACCAATCTTTCCCACAACCAGTCCGACCAGGGAACCTCTGGCGACGCCGCGTACCGACCGCGCTCGCAAGACCGCCACCATACTCGTGCCAACTCCGAAACACCTACAACCTTCTTCAACGGAGCCGCGGGCGGCTCAAACTCCACGAGTGTGTTTGAATCAGGAGTCGATGGGTACGGCGAAGACCTGTATCCCGTCGACCGGACCGACTCGCCCAACCTGGCTTCCAACCCGCACAATTCGAGATATGCCCGGAGCAACTCGTTTCCGGTGCGACCGCACACACCTCCCTCCGGAGCCACGTTGAGCTTGCACAGGCCATCAGCGTCAGGAGAGTCATCTCCAGCCAAGGACCGCAATCGCCAGCATCGGCTCCATTCCGCGTGGCGAAACAGTGGTGGATCGGACGCCTTTAATAGCTTCTTGGAGACGGAAGATGAAATTGACGTGTCGCGTAGCGCCCCATCAAGTCCTGGTGGCAGCAGCAAGGACAAATCAACAAGCGATGGAAGTTCGAATGACGCCGGTTACACATTTGACGAGTTAGTTGATCGGCTTGTGGCGCAGCCGATGTCGAAGCAAGACTCGAAGTTCTCGTCGATATTCTTGTGCCTGTATCGCAAGTTCGCGGCACCTGCCAGTCTACTCAATGCGCTGATACATCGTTTTGAACGAAATGAGAAAACCATCACTGACCAGCTGACCCGCATTGCCGATCAGTTGAGACTGCTCAACGTGATGGCACAGTGGGTATCGGAGTACCCCGGCGACTTGGCATATCCAAAGACCCGGAAGCGGATCCTGGATTTTGTATCAACGTTGGAGAAGAGTCATTTTTACATGTTTGCCGCCAAAGAGATTGGATCGTATCTCGAAGTGAACACGGAAGATGATGATGTTGGGTGGCCATTCAAAGATGGCGACGTGGAGGAATTTGATGACAAGGAAACCTTCTACGTCAACTCCGGCCGGAGCTCTCCATCCATGTTTCTGGGAGGGCCTACCTCAGGAGAAGATGAAGGCGAGGAAGAGGAGGAGGACCCTATCTACAACATGAGCGCTCTAGATCTGAGCGAGGGCCCGCCAGAGCAAAGCACAAGGTTCTCTGGGGGGTTTTCGGGTACTTCGACGGTGGACAAGCCCGGCACGATTTCGAGCCAATCGTTCACGAGCTTGAGCATTGAAGCTGCGCAGAGAGAATCCGAACACCTGGAGCTGACACCTAGCGTGCCACTGACCAAGATACAATGGCGGCAATTCATGGAGATACCCGACGAAGAATTTGCACGCGAGTTAACACGAATTGACTGGATCATGTTCAACTCGTTTCGACCTCGGGACCTTGTACGCCATGTCAGTATTTCAGGCCCCGACAAAGATAAGATTCAGAGCTTGAAGCATGTCAATCGCATGATCAAACAATTCAACCATATCGCGTTTTTCGTGGCTAGTATGATCCTACTTCGGGACAAGCCGAAGCACCGGGCAAGGGCCCTGGAGAAGTTTATGAACATTGCACTGGTAAGAATCAAACGTGAACGAGAAAAAGGAAATATCTAACACTAATTGAAGAAACTGCGACGGTTGAATAACTACAACTCTCTGGGCGCACTAATTGCCGGCATCAATGGGACTCCGGTACATCGGCTGTCTCAGACGCGGGAGCTGGTCCCAGTCCAAGTACAGAAGGACTTCATGAGGCTTGTGATTCTCATGGGGACGCAGAAGAGCCATTTTGCATATCGCTTAGCCTGGGACAATTCATTCTCGGAGCGAATTCCGTTTCTCCCACTACATCGCCGTGATTTGGTGTCGGCCGAGGAAGGGAATAAGACCTTCGTCGGAGACAACCGATCTCGGATCAACTGGAAGAAATTCGAGGTAATGGGAGAAGTCATTCTGGGCATCCAGCGCAGCCAGAAGACCCCGTATGCTCATATTAATCGGTATGAGGATGTGCAACGGTTGGTCCTCGATATCAAGCTTTCTGGAGATGAAGAGGTTCGTGCCAAACCAACAGACGGCGATTCCATTGGCTAACGGCTGATATTTGTAGGACTTGTATGCACGCAGTGTACAGGTTGAACCGTCTACGGGCGTCGACACAGGACGCAAGAAATTCGGCTGGCTGCGTTCTTGACCGGATTAGAGCACATCCTCAGAAAGATAACTTCTATTGACCGACTTCTACTCTTGCGTGCGACCTACCAACCGCGCCTGCTTTCTAACCACAAGCACGACTATGCATCACTACATATATTTTCTATACTCCCTACACCCTGACGTGACATGCCTTCTGATGATTGACTGACGAGATGGTCAAATGACGGTTCAAGTGGTGGTAACCACTTGGTGTACATATACGAAACATACATAGTTAAATAATTAACATAATAATCAACGTGATGCCGTATGTAGCGCAACCTTTTCATTTCCTCGGGGTGCTCTCCACTTGTATTTCCGTAAAGCCACCGATAAGATCACGTGACAACATCGCCTTCGAAACATCCTACTCCGTAGATCGATGACAGTCTGATCATCACTCTCTCTTACCCTCCTCCACCTCACCTAAAACAAACCAACGTGCTCATACAAACCCAAAATCAAGAAAGGAAAAAAAAGGAGAACAGGAAAAAATGACACCCCACCTCCGCTCCACCTATCGTGCCATCCTCCGCGAACTCCCCCGCCGCACCCTCTCCAAGCCAACGCCCCTCCAGCAACGCATCCGCGAAGCCTTCCGCACAGGCACAAGCGCAGGCGAACAATCTCCAACAGCGGCAGACCCACACTTCGAGCAGCGGGTACACGAGGCCGAGCAGATGGCGCAGTATGCGCGTGCGCAGAGGACGTATGCTGCTCTTGTGGAGCGGTATAACCCCGGCATGACGATGACGGAGAAGGAGAAGATTCGGTTGACAGCTAGACGGGTGGGATTTGATTTGCCGATTGCGGAGCAGGCGGGGAAGGAGTAGGAATCACGGTTGTTGTTGTTGTGCGAGTGGATGGGATGGGACGAAATGACTATGAGTCCGCAATGGAAATTGGGCTACGATGAGACTGGGTTCCGGTGCATTGGAGGAAGTGCGTGAGATGGATAGAGACTGATTTGATTGTATTATAGCATTACTGGAGTTACGGCATGACTTGTACAGGACAGTTTGGTATATATTCAATTGCATCGATCTAGGTTTTTTATCTCTCGTGCAATCTGGAGTAAGTTCGCGGCGGTGGCGTTACTCAAGCATGTCTATCCATGCGTCTGGTGCCCTGATGAGCCGCGCGGAGTCTTGCCTGGTCTATCGATCGATACGATCGATCTTTGGCCAGGGGGACGGATCAGGGCCTGAGTCCTGATGGGGAGGGGTGCGCTATCGCAGAGGGCGTAGCAGCTTGTCAAGTAGGGCACTGGAATACTTCTCCCCTGGGCTTAGCCGGTCGTCAACTGGGCTCGCTCCATCTGCCTCATGAGCGTAGAGCTGCTTTCTTCGTCCTCGATCCCGACGCCAACTTCAATCGCGGTCTTGGGCCGGTTCTTGTTCAGCCCGTCCAGGAGCATGCACGCTTTGCAAATCTTCTGGCTTGAGATGTATCCACAGCGCTCGCACTTGCCCATTGTTTGACTCTTGATCGCTTTCGGGTTATTCGCCTTGTCGCTCTTTCTCTTGGGGGCTACTGGGAGCTTGATCTCGGTCTCTCTAGACTGAGCGGCGTCATCTTCTGCGAGCTTCTTCTCCATCTCCGCCATTTCGCCACCACTCGATCGACCGTTTTGACTACCACAGCCACCCGCCGATTCATCATCCTCTGCAGTAGCAGTAGCAGCACTGGTGCCGCCGCACTTCTTCCCGCTCGAACTAACCGCCAACGGCACCAGAGCAGCCATGTCCTCTCCGCTCTTGACAATATCCAAGATCGAGCTGGGGCGAATCTTTTCGAGATCCTTGATCAGCGTCCGGGCGCTGCCTCGGAACGCTTCAGGCGAATAGATACACTCGGTGCTGAAATAATCCAGCTTCTTGTGGTGCGCGTACAGCACGATCTCCTTCTCGTACGCATACTTGAGCGGTTTGCTGCGCTTGATATCCGACGCCGCCGAGTCCGTCACGATACTGGTCCCCCGCGACAAACGCGGCAGATCCCCTCGCAGCAGATTCATCATGACCGTCTCTGCTACGTCGTCCGCGTTATGTCCCGTGACAACATGCTTGATACCCAGTCGCGCGGCGCCCCGGTCAAGGGCTTGTCGCCGGAACACCCCGCAGTAGGTGCAGTTGCCTTTCTTCCCGACCTGCTCGACGACCTGATCCATCGTCCAACCGTACAACTCGCTGTACCCGACAATTTCCAGCGGCATATCGTACTGTACGGCGTTGCGCTTGACCGTCTCGAGACTATCGTCGCGATAGCCCTTAATGCCTTCGTCGATGGAAAGCAGACATAATTCCAGGCCGTAATTGTAGCGCTCGTTGAGTGTTTTAAGGACTGAGGCAAGGACCGTGCTATCTTTGCCTCCACTGGCGCCGATGGCGACCCGTTCGCCAGGGTAAAAGAGGGAGGAGGAGGTGATCGTCTCGTGGACTTCAGTCTCGAAAACTTCGAGGAAGCAGGCGCGGCATAGCTTGTGCCGGTTCTTCGGACGGATAATGACGGCTCTAGCTTCCTTGCAGTTAAAACACAGTGTTGGAGGCATTTTGGTCGAAGATCTCGAGCGAAAAGACCTAATAATGGAGAGGAAGAATTTCTGACCCCGCGATAATAATTATCATTATTGATCGATTGATAGATCTTTTGATAGGCGGATTCTTGGAGTTTGTTCCGTTTGCATTATGCTTTGTCAGCGGAAGATAACGAAAAAACAAAACAGTCCGATTTGGAAGCAGCTGAGGCAGTCATAAGAAGATTAAATCTATCTACACAGCATTACCATACATAATTCTATAATCACAAACACAATGCGGTACTACAGTACAATATCCCATATCTCCGAGTTCTTTGTTGTGTATCGTCCCAGTCATCGCGCGATTAAAACTTCCGGCGCAGCAGATTCATGATCATTTCGCGACCTGTGACTCTCGTCGTGGCCCACAGGGTAGGGAAATCAAGTGTGCTGGAGAAAGTATCGGCGTAACCGAAGAAAAGCATGGGAGGGATCCAACCACGGGCGTACTCGAGGGCAAAGCAGGACTGCTCCATCTTGTACTGCTTGACCTCGCCGCGGCGGAGATGGTGCACGCTGCCAGGGGGGTAGACCTCGGGCTCGAAAGTGCCGGGAACGTAAGCGACCTGGGTTCCATGGAGGATGTTGAAGTAGTCATCTGCGGTGTGGCGACCGGTGTGGCCCTCGGTGCCAATCGCGGTGCCTGTCTTAATTAGAACAGCTCGGAAGGGGAAAAGGAATAAATGTGAGAGGAAGTACCGAAGATGATCAAGTATTCGGTGATACCTGAATCATGATTAGCAGGAATCTTTTGGTAAAGTCTGGCCAGCTGGAAGCCTATTGAACAAACTCACTAGCATGAATGATGTACATGGCACCCATAGCACCACCAGCATTGTTAAAAATCCATTCCTCGTCCTTGTTCAGGTGGTTTCCGGGGATTTTCTGGTCCAGCTCGGCGACAATGAAGTCGACCATCGCACGGGTGTCGTTGCCATGAGCCTGGACGGCGCGCTGGGAGAGGTCGTGCAATTGTTCGGGATTGAAGATGTAGAATTGCTCAAGACGAGCATCGAGGTAGCTGTACAGCGCAGCGAAGATGGCCACGAAGACCGCAAGGAAGCCGAGCTTGCGCATGGAGAAGCAGCAGCCGCCGCAGGAACTCTTGCGGGACGAATTTGATTGTTGGGAGGAGGATTTAGAGGGCATGGTGGAGGTCGTGTGTAGAGCAAAAGATCAAGTCAATTGGGAGACTAAAATTGACAACTGACAAAATCTGGGGACGAAAAGAAGCTTAACAGGAGTAAAGGGATTATCAGTCTAGGCAGAAAAAAATATGGTGGAGTCCGCGGCGCCCGCGTAAATTTGGCTGATCGCGCAGTAGTCTAAATCCCTGGTTAGATGAATGAGTTCCCCTGGCGTCGGGCCTGTTTGTTTTTCTCTTTTCTTGGCCTGGAGGTTGGAGCATCTCAGGCCACCACGGATAGAGAGATCCGAAAGAGGCATCAGATTATCAGCTTCAAAGTCTGCAATCAATTAAGCATCATCATTCAGTATTATTAGTGAAGAAGTCTGTTGATGGTCGGCACAATGCGTTGTGTGTTGAGACTGCTCTGTTATGTCAGCAAACCAGTTGTCTCTCCGACTTAACAACTGTGATCCCTTATCGATCCCGTTGACGATCCAAGGCATTGTATGCATTCAAACAGAGAGGATACGGATCGGTATTTCTGACTGAGCATAATCGTTCTCTTTATCTTCATATGACTGCAGTGAAGGGAAGTGCATCTGCTCCATGCGACAATGCTTTAGAACATAAGCTGGAAAGACCTGGGCAACACCCAGTCTCAAGACGACTAATGACGACAGATGTAGCTCTTACAGCTGCATAGACGCATTTCAAATATCAGAATCTGAAATTATGATCTCTCCTTTATTGATGGTGAAAGGACTGCCTGGATTTCTTCCATGATTCCAGTCAACTATGCTCTATTCATAGTGCCGTACCTAGCTAGGTACTCTACATTAATAGGATGAAACCGCCGGTTGTATATGGGTCTGTATTAATTCGGAACTTCTCCTGAGGAGAACTCAACTCTTCAGTCAACACCGCCAGGAATTCCGCACAATAGAGAATGGATTGCAGGAAAAACTTCCAACAGACTGTCGATCTCCCTTTAGTTGAAACGGGCATATTTTCGTCCATGTCGGGAATTCAAGCTGCTAGTTGTCACCAGCACAGGTCAGCCACAACATCAACGGATTTTCTGAATCCTGCAGCCTTGGATTCTTTGGCCTCGCTAAGCTACTAGCATGGCTCTGTGACGAGAGAGCAATACTCTTGATCTGGAGTGCAGAATGCGGGGTCCACTTACGTATGTCAATCTAATATCCTCCCACAATGCTTCTTTCTTTCTACATTTGCTCGATCCCGATGTGATTTCCACCAATATCCTCACTGCTTCCGGAGACAATTGTTGTTTTTGTCGATCATTCCGTGTCTTCGTCGTCTCGGATTGTTTCATTCGTCGGGAATTGTCCGGGTAAAATGGACCATTCCGTGACCTTTAGAGCCATATGTGGGGAGCAGCCACTGTGGGTGTCTCAAGTTGAAGCTTGGGTATAGATTGATCCACCAGTCAATATGATCGCCTGGTCCGCCGAGTGAGTCGTGAAGATTGAGGGCGATGATCATGGCATCAAAGAGGTTAAGCGTCGAAGATGCAGGCCATGGCTAGAGGCCCAAATATACCCCCGGGGCGGGTTCAGGAGAGGGAGTTCAGGAAACTATAAGAGTCGACGGAGGGCCTCATGTCGATTCAGTGTGCTCTCTGTCAGTCAACTGGTCATCCTCGGAAGAACTTGAACGATTATTCAGTATGAAGTTCAGCCTCTCTCTCGCCCTCTCGCTCGCCGCAGCCACTGCCCAGGCAGCCACCCAGTTCTGCGACCAATGGGGCTCGGTCACCGAGGGCAACTACATTCTATACAACAACCTTTGGGGTAAGGCCCAGGCCAGCTCTGGCTCGCAGTGCACCACCTTTGAATCTCTTTCGGGCAACACTATTGTCTGGAACACCAAGTGGTCTTGGTCCGGTGGCCAGGGCCAGGTCAAGAGCTTCGCCAATGCCGCTCTTAAGTTCACCCCAAAGACCCTGAGCAGCGTCAAGAGCATTGACTCGACTTGGAAGTGGAGGTAGGCATTTCTTACAGATCCTCTGTGGTTGTGAAGCTGACGATGACAAGCTACTCTGGCTCTAACATCGTCGCCGATGTCGCCTACGACATGTTCCTCAGCCCGTCCGCCAGCGGCAGCCACACCTACGAGATCATGGTCTGGCTAGGTGCTCTGGGCGGCGCCGGTCCCATTTCCTCGACGGGCTCGCCCATCGCCACGCCCACCATCGCTGGCATCAAGTGGAACCTGTACCTCGGCCCGAACGGCTCGATGCAGGTGTACAGCTTCGTGGCCCAGTCGACCACGAAGAGCTTCTCCGGTAACATGCTCGACTTCTTCAAGTACCTGGAGAGCAAGCAGGGACTGTCCAGCAGCCTGTACCTGGTCGACGTGCAAGCCGGTACCGAGCCTTTCAGCGGAAGCAATGCCGTTTTCACCGTGTCCGACTACTCCGTCAGTGTTGCCTAGACGTTCTATTAAAGGCAACGTCTAGCTTTGTGTATATTTAAATAATCCAATCGCTTTAGCAATCAATTTATTGGAACCAGACAAAATCCAAACATAGATGTTTCGCTACGCGCCCTCGTTTCAAACGGGGACTGCATCATAAGGCGCGTACCACAGTCTACTAGCGTCGACATATTCGTTTCAGATGCAGTCAGGCCTCAAAGAAGTATCTATGTGCCTCATTTTCAGCTTTCAAGTAGCAACCCAGCGGTTCCTGAATCGCCTTCTTTATAACTCGACCCAATCGCCCCGTCGAAGCATGTTGGACATCAACGTCTTCCAAGAATAACCGGATCCACAATAAGGACTTGACACATTATGGACCAGGATCCATTTGTATATATAGAAATCGATGCACGCCGCGCGCGAAGCGAGACGGAGGAACATGCGCTTAAGCGCCCACGAACACCCCTGCGTTGGGCGCTTAGGACACTTCCACTGTTACTGTACCTCGTCCATGAACTACAGATATCTGCAGGAACGAACGACAATAGTAGCAGGAGGAGTAGCAAGGACGAGCCATTAATTACTAGATAGTACTCCGCGTTCCGGAATTGAAGTTGCAGATAGATTCCTGTCCTGTTCCTTGCGAGACGACCTTTGCGTCGTAGAATTGTGGCGGGCAGGACCAGAGGATGCAATTGAGGGGAGGGGAATGTAGGAACTAAGGCAGGTACTTTCTTGCTAGTCTAATATCCATTATTACAACAACTACTTGGTGATTTTGATCCAGGTTCGTAGAAGGGAATATGCTCCTTGACACGAGTGTAGTCGGGGTTTTTTCGCTGGGGATGACGCCTGGAGGGGTACAGCCTACGACAGGAGGGGTTTGTCACTTGTCAATCAAGGTCTTAGGTCTCATGATAGGGTTGGATTTGATCGTTGAATGAGGATCTGGACGCATAGATGATATCATATATCGAGTCTAGTCCGTTCTCTGACTGTGATGATGTCTGGACTGCAGACTGCAGACTGCGTCGTGTACTACACTGCCAAAGAATGCGTGGCGCCTGCAACTATCTCCGGATCCTACTTCTGTCATGATTCCTGAATCAGCTGAAGCGAGGAGAAGCTCCTAGAGTGTTCAAGAGAGGAGCAGAAACAGTTGGATTCCAGACTGAACGCCAGTGTCAAGCAAGTCAATGAATGGGATAGACATGGCGGACAGTCAAGCAGACGCGTTGCGAGGATTCCTGGCCGGAACAGGAGCGCGTTTCGCCCCAGGAAAAGGTTTCAGGGCAGCGTAAAGGCTGAGGAATAGATGGATATTTGCCTTGCTAAAAGACAATAAAAGTATGGCAGTGTTTGAGGGATAAATGGGAAGGGAGCAATGATTCGTCGGCGATGCTCTGTATTTCTCCTGCCACTGGATTTTCCACGATGCAGTATGGAGTTATGTAGATCTATCAATGCCCCCTCGCTTTCTTGACTACAGTACAAGACAATGAATTGAAGAGTAATTAGTATTCTGAGACTACCTCAAGCTACCTGCGTAGAATATCTATAATTAATTTTCAGATTGTCCATCATGCATTCTGATTTGTTCCTGTGCTGGATAGGGCTTGTACCAATCATCGCGTTGCAGTCGAATCGCGCGCCAAAGGGACAGACCAACCTCTGACCCTTGAAGAATCAGTCAATCAACGACAGTCATTCAGTCACTGGAATCCAGCGTTTGAGATGATCCTCGATTTCATTCGATCCGCTCCTGTCCTATTCCCCCATCGAGCCCAGGATGATACCAGGTTACCTAGTGCTTTACCAGTTATCCCTGTGGCTGCTCCTGCTGGCTGAAATGTCCTTGCAGCTGTCCAGCCGCCCTGCACCACCACCTTAATTGCAAACATACCGACCCATTGACGGATGAACAATGGCGATCAATCAGAATCCAGACTATGTGGACGATGATGAAGCTACATTCACGAGTCCTTATAAAGTACATCAGGTGGCCGCCTTCGCTGGATTCTTCACGCGGTCATCCACATGCTCAGTCTCGCCATTTTTCGTCTCACTGATCTTCCTTTCTTTTTACGCTTCTCTTGCAGTAGTAATCATTAATTGATTTGCTTTTGATCATTATTATAATCAGCCCTATCCACTTTCGCTGCATTGCATTGTCTTGGTGTTACTTCTCTGGGCCGTACATTCACTCCATGTCCACCACCAGACCAGACGTCTTCTCAGTTCCGATCGACGCTCAATACGAACTTCAGATCAAAGTTGTTAAGACAGTTTCGTATTCAGCTTGTTACTGAAGATCTATTTCAGCCTCAGCGCTGCTTTCCTGCTCCACAGATCGCCCAGTCCCAGAGCACACTTCCGACAGGTTGACACGACAACCTTATCCTCTCTCTCTCAGCATTCCAGAACCACATTATTCCTGCTGGACGGGAATTTGAATCATTTTTAAAACATCGCTGTCCGTCCTGTGTCAGCTCGTCGCCAGAAATCTCCCTCTGACCTTTTCCCCTATTATCTCTCGCTTTGCTTTTTATTCCCTTGCCACCAGAGAGATACTTCGCCCCCAAACAAAGACCATTGTCAACATTCCTTTTCAGCTCTTCTCGCCCCATTCACTATCGGGAAAGAGAACGAGCAAAACCAAGACAAATACGAGATACTACTTTTATCTCTTCTATTTTGGGTGTTGACGATTTCCAAATAATAAACATCAACCTCGTTCGCTTGGAAGAAGTATACTCTCTATACTCCCGTCGCTCACATCAACAACACAAACACCAACAATTACACCCACCACCACCACAACAGCATCACCATGGATGCTCCCGTGGCTCTCAATCGAGCCGCTCTTAATGAGTTTGTCACCCGCCCGGTATCACGAGAGATGGTGGCCTATCTGGCTCAGCAAGCTTCCCTGGTCATCCGCTGCGAGTCGCATGTGACCTCTGCCGTTAGCCGTCATGGCCAGCCTACGCCTCCAAGCACACCTCCACTGGATGGCTTGCCTCCGCTGCCATCACTCGAGACGTTCATCATCTCGCTCGTCACTCGGTCTCAGGTGCAGGTTCCTACGCTGATGACCTCTTTGGTCTACCTGGCTCGACTGCGGGCCCGCTTGCCGCCTGTCGCCAAGGGCATGCGTTGCACTGTCCATCGGATCTTTCTTGCATCGCTCATCCTGGCTGCAAAAAATCTGAATGACTCGAGCCCAAAGAACAAGCACTGGGCCCGCTACACGGCCGTCAAGGGCTACGATGGCTTCTCCTTCTCGCTGCCAGAGGTGAACCTGATGGAACGCCAGTTGCTGTTTCTTCTCGACTGGGACACTCGGGTTACCGAAGACGACCTTTTCCTACATCTCGAGCCCTTCTTAGCTCCTATTCGGCAGCGATTCGAGGCGCAAGAGCGCGAGGCAGAACTGAGACGCCAACAACAGCAACAGCAACAACACTACCGTGAATGGCGCCACCTCCATGCATCGGCAGAGCTCCTTGCTAGCCGTCTGCGTCGCCAGAAGGTCGAGGGTCGTGCAGACTCTCGCCGCAGCATGGTAGAGGGCGGCTCGCCTCGCAAGCGTCTTCCAAGCCACGTCTCCTCATCCAGCCTGGGGGGCTCCCCGCAGTCCGTCGAGGGTGAGCGGTACACTCCCTACAATCCCCACCATCACCACCAGCGCCTTCGCACGTCACCATACCGGTCTGGCCGATCTATCTCTCCGCCATCCGTCAGCGATGTCCCCTGCCTCTCTCGCGCAGAGACATTCAATTCATTGAGCTCCCGTTCCTCCAGCGTTGCTCCCAGCTCGCGCGGCACTCCAGCCAGCATCAGCACCTCCTGCTCTTCGACCAGCATGGACGAAATTATTGTAGCGGAAGCTGTCAGCAGTCCTTCTACTTCCAGTCTGGGCTACAGCTATGTCAACATCCCCGCCATCCAGACAGACGCAAAGCAGTCCCTTAATGACTTCCACGAACATCGTCACCACCAGCAGCCCAGCAAGAAGATGAGGATGGCCAGCAACAACGGCAGCGCCGGCTTTGTCGCCCGATTCCTGGCTTCTGCCGCAGGCTACCACATGGGTGGTCGTCACGGGCGTGTCTAATTCCATTCGTTCTTCACCATTTCAGTCGAGCAGGTCTCGACTCTATCAAGAAAACATAATAGGAAATACCCACTAGAGCTTCGTTCTCCCCTACTGTCGTTGTTCCCTTCTCGCTTGCCTCCTTTTGTTTAAAATTCTCTTTTACTAGAATACCCAGTTTCCATCTCCTTCGTTACACTCGTACCATACTTGGCTTGTCTGCATTGCATAATGGTTATGGTTATGGCTATGGTACGGCGTCATCTTTTGCATGTTATGGCTGGGATATGCCTCTCTTTTTCTTCTTCACATTTAGGATAACGCCACAAGAATGAACCCAATTAGACAGGATATCTTTCTGACACTTGGCAAGCATGTATGTATGTTTATGTTTACTATGGTTGGCATGAAAGGGATGGATACCACGCAGTAGCCAGTACTTAATATTCTGATTGATCCTGAATATCCATGGCAGATGCTTATTTTGAACTGTACTTGAATGGAAAGTAGCAAGAAAAACTCGAAAAAGATGCATATACTCCCACTAACCAACCTCACCAAGCACATCAGTGCTTCCGGTACCCTTGACGATGTCCTTTGCAGGACCATCCGAAACTTTTGCGCGTATGTGATTGTCTCTGGGTGGACCGTGCCGATGATTTATGGTGATGCTTGATGCGTTGTGTGGACGATCAAGTTGGTTATCAACTTATCCCTTTGCAACATTGCCTTAGGGCGTCTTCTGCAGTCGGTGGTCCTGTGAACATTGTTGTATTGCCTGCCAGTTAGTTGGTATGAGCAAAACCATCTTCCCGCTTCCGTTCCTTCTGGCTCTTCGCCATTTCTCCATCTCTCCAGTATAGTCCGTCAGGGTGTCCTCCCATTGTTGATATAGGCGGTTGTACATATCAACAGCAAC